CTCTACAACAAAGAAATGAGAAACCAATTGAAACAGAAACAGATAATAATCCTGGAGTCCTGAGCTTCATGGTAAAGGATAAAGAAGTGGATTAAATAACTGGCTAGAAGAAGAAATAGAATGAAAATAGTGAATAAGGAGACAAATGAAGCTGTGGATTGTCGACTGGCTTAATAGTGCAGGCATTTTGAATATTTTCAAGTGATATTCTGATGGGGACAGCAACCTATAACGGCTCTGCTTGATGAGGACTGCACAGGCACCCACACTGGTGGCTGGTGACCAGAAAGCAACCACACCTATACTGTACTAACAAACAAATCTGAAAACCTGGAAGAAACAGAATTGTAGAAGCACACTACTTACCAGTAACATAGACTGAGGCAGAAAAACTAAACAGACTCATAACAAAAGAAGAAACTGAATAGGTTGGAAAAAAAAAGCTCCCAATAAAAATGTTCTGGCCGAGACAGCTTCACTGGTGAATTTTACCAAACTTTTGGAAAAGAGCTGACAACAATACTACTCAAACTATACAGAGTATAGAAAAGGTGGGAAACTCACAAATCCATTTTATGAGGAGAGCATAACCCTGATACCAAAGTCAGGCAAGGACACCACCAAAAGAGAAAATTATAGACCAATATCACTCATATTGGATATTGAAAATTATAGGCCAATATCACTCAATTGGAAAATTATAGACCAATATCACTCATATGAGGATGACTTAAGGCACTTACTGATGAAGGTTGAAGAATACAGTCTGCAGTATGGATTACATCTCAACATAAAGAAAACAAAAATCCTCACAACTGGACCAATGAGCAGCATCACAATAAATGGAGAGAAGATTGAGGCTGTCAAAGAATTCACGTTGTTTGGTTCTATAATCGATGCCAACGGAAGCAGCAGTCAGGACATTAGACGACGTGTAGCATTGGGAAAGTCAACTGCAAAGGAACTGTTTCAAGTGCTGAGGAGCAAGGATGTCTCATTGAGGACTAAGGTGCGCCTGACACAAGCCATGATATTTCCAATCGCCTGGTATGCATGTGAGAGCTGGACAATGAATAAGGAAGACCGAAGAAGAGTTGATGCTTTTGAGTTGTGGTGCTGGCGAAGAATGCTGAAAGTACCGTGGACTGTTAAAAGAACTAACAGATCTGTCCTGGAGGAAGTGCAGCCAGAATGCTCCTTGGAAGCAAGAACGGCCACACTTCGTCTCACCTATTTTGGTCATGTTGTAAGAAGGGACCATTCCCTGGAGAAGGATGTCATGCTTGGTAGGGTGGAGGGTCGATGAAAGAGGGGGAGGCCTTCAATGAGATGGATTGATACGGTGGCTGCGATGATGGGCTCAAGTATAGCAGGGATTGTGGGACTGGCGCAGGATCAGGCAGTGTTTCGTTCTGCTGTGCATGGGGTCGCTATGAGTCTGAAACGACTCGACGGCACTTAACAACAACAACAACAACATCACTCATAAACATAGATGCAAAAATTCTAGCCAACAGAATCCAACATATCAAATACATATATATACAAAATAAAACAACATGACCAAGTGGAATTCATACTAGGTGTGCAAGGATACTTCAGCATTAAAAAAACAATCAACATAATTTGCTACATAAATGAAACAAAAGAAAAGAACCACATAATCATAACAATTAACAAAGAAAAGGTTTTTGACAAAATCCAATATCCAATAAAAAAGGAAAAGAGGAGAAATCTCTCAACGTAATTAAGGGCATACATACAAATCCAACAACCAACATTACTCTCAAGAAACTTAAAGTACTCCCCTTATGCAGACAAAGGATTATCTTTATCACCACTCTTATTCAATATTGTATTAGATGGCCTACCCAGAGCAACAAGGCAAGAAAAAGAAGTAAAAGGTATCTAAATTGGCAAAGAAGTATAACTATATCTATTTGCAGAAGATAAGACCTTATACATAGAAAATTCCACACATTCAGTAAGAAAATTACTGGAACTAATTGAAAGCGTCAGCAGCAAAGTGGCAGGATACAAGACTGTGATAGTTGGAGCTGTGTGTCAACTTGGCTGGACCCCAGTTCTGTGTGGTTGTTCCCATGATGGGATCAGATGACTGTGTTCTGAGTGGCCAGTCTGCCCAAGGGAAGTTTCCCTAGGGGTGTGGCCTGCTTCCAAGATATCCAGGGACAACCTGGGAAGAGCCGCATTCCTTGAGGGGTTGGAACCCTGGTGTGCGGACTACAGACTTCCGTGAGTGAGTGGCCCACCGCTCGGCCTGGAGATCTCGGATTCGTCTTTTGTTGGAGTCAACAACCAGCGTACTGCATGCCAGCTTGAATCTCTCAGCCCCGTGCTTGTGGAAGCCAAGGCGGCCGGAAGCCCCATCTCTTCCACAGACTTGGACTTCTCGGCTTGGACTTGTCGGCTTCTATACGCTTGTGAGCCATTTTCCTAAGATAAATTTCTCTCTCTCTCTCTCTCTCTATAAATATATATATACACTTTGCTGGTTTTTGTGTTTCTCTAGAGAACCCAATCTAACACAAAGACCAACACCCAAAAATTTGTCAGATTCCTTTGCACTAATGAAGAGAACTCTGGAAAGGAAATCAGGAAAGCAATACCGTTTAATAATAACCACAGTTAGATGCAGTTCTGAGGAATAAATCTAACCAGAGACACAGAGACCTGCACAAAGAAAACTCAGAACACTATTACAAAAAACCAAGAGAGACTTACATAAATGAAAGGATATACCATGCTCATGGGTAAGAAGATTTAACGTCATGAAAATATCAATACTACCCCATTATTTCTATAGATATAATACAATAACCATCCAGGTTTCATCATCTTTCTTCAAAGAGATGGAAAAACTAATCACCAACTTTATGTGGAAAGGAAAGAGACCCTTATTAGTAAGGTACTACACTAAAGAAGAACCAAGTAGGAGGCCTCACACCCCCGATCTCAAAACCTACTACGTAACTCCTGTGGTTCCAGCCAAATAAAAGATGGGCATATGGGCTGGACATTTACATTAGATAGATATACTCCTTGGAGAGATCATATATGGGAGAACAGAAGGGCACTGCATGTACAGGGAGATCACTCAAGGGGCAAGAGTGCATGGAGAAGGAAGGACATAGGGAAGAGGTAACTATGGGGAGGAAATAGGAAGAAAGCTGTTATATTGTGGGAAACTGCAGTCAATGTCATGAGACAAAATGTATATGAACTGCTGGACAGAATATGAAATCGCTCTGTAAACTTTTACCCAAATAATAATTAAAAAAAAAAAAAAAAAGAAAACCTACTACACATTGCCACAGCAGTTACAACAGTTTGGTACTGGTACAATGACAGACACATAAGACCAATGGAAAAGAACTAAGAAACCAGAAGTATATCCATCCACTTATGGACAGATGATCTTTGACAAAGGACCTAAAGTCATTACATGAGGAAAAGACAGTCTCTCTAATAAACAATGCAGGCAAAACTGGATATCCATTTGCAGAAAAATGAAAAAGGACTCTTATCTCACATCATATACAAAAATGAACTCAATTAGGTCAAAGACCTGAACATAAACCCTAAAACCATAAAGACTGTCAAAGAAAAAATAGCAAGAAACTTAGAGGTCCTACTTCAGGGCATAAAAACCCTACTGAACATAACTAAGAACACACTAACACCAGAAAACAAAATAGATGACTGGGACCTCCTAACGCGCATCAAAAGATTTCATCAAAAGTTGTAAAAAAAAAGAAGCCACAGCCTGGGAAAAATATTTTGGCAGGCATATCGGACAAGGGGCTGATCAACAAAATTTATAGAAAACTTCAACACCTTAACAACAAAAAGGCAAATAACTGAATTAAAAAATAGGCAGAGGACATGAACAGACACCAAGAAGATATTAGTTATCCAAAAAACACATGAAGAAACACTCACTATCATTAGCCATTGTTGTTGTTGTTGTTGTTATGTGCCGTCGAGTCGGCCCCGACTCATAGCGACCCCTCCTTGGGTTTCCGAGGCAGTATCACTACGGAAGTAGGATTGCCCAACCTTCCTTCCGAGGAGTGGCTGGTGGGTTTGAACCGCCAGCCTTCTGGTTAGCAGGCAAGTATCTTAGCCACTATGCTACCAGAGCTCCTATCATTAGCCATTAGAGAAATGCAAATTAAAACAACATGATATCATTTTATCCCAGTACTAAATGTAAAGTTCAAAAAACCAGAAAACAACAAATGCTGGTAAGGGTTTGAAGAGACTGGAACCCTCACACACTGCCGGTGGGACTGTAAAATGATGCAAACCCTGTTGAAAATGGTATGGTGTTTCCTTAAGAAATTGGAAGTAGAAATCTGTATGATCCAGAAATCTCACTAGTAGGTATATATCCTAGAGAAATAAAAGCCATGACATGAACAGATATATGCACACCCATGGTCACTGCAGCACTATTCACAAGAGCAAAAAAAAATTAAACAAGCTAAATGCCCATCAACAGAGCAATGGATCAACAAACTATGATACATACACACAATGGAATACTATGCAACATTAAAGAACAATGACAAATCTGCAAAATAACTCATAACATGGATAAACTTAAAAGCCATTATGTTGAGTGAAATCAGTCAATCACAAAAGGACAAATACTATATGAGACCATTATTATAAAAAGTCAAGAAAAGCATTTCACACAAAACACGATATTCTTTGATGGCTACTAGGGTAGGTGGAGAGGGGAGGGTAAACCATTAACTAGAAGGCAGAAACATACTAAAGTAGGTGAAGGGAAAGGCCAAAGGCAAAAAAAAAAAAAAAAAGAAGCATGCAAATAAATCTTTATCACCTTAATGCAATCAATCAATAATAATAATGATTCACTATATCCCAAAGATCAACTGCAGTACTTATTCTTCCAAACCAAGCACACAAATGTGGGTTCATGAAGGATTTATACAATTTCTTGATCTTACCTCATCTATGTTTCTAAGCCATTTGCTGATGTTTTCAAAACTTTTACCATTGGTGATGTCATATACTAGCATAATACCCATTGCTCCTCTGTAGTAGGAGGTTGTGATGGTGTGAAATCGCTCCTGGCCTGCTGTATCCCTGAAATAAACAGTCAATAATTTGTATTAAGCATTCTGATATTACTATACTCCAAATAAAGAACAAAAGAGTAGAATAGTTTGGCAAGATAGATTAAAACCCACTACTCGATGGCACTTAACAACAATAACAACAACAACATACCACATACAAAACAGAATGACCACTCCTTTAATTCTTAACTGGTCAACAATTATGGTTCTTGCGAATATGAAAAAAAATAAGGAAAATGGTGACCTAGCCATATCAGATGGGAATATTGAAGTGAAAACCGTAGAAAGTAGAAACGTGAAACTCTTGCACCATGAAAACTGCTGGAAACCCATTTTACTTAGTGATTTAGTAGCTAATGAAATACAAAAGTATTTCAGTTTTTAGAACACTGAAGAAGTATAGTATAATCATATTTATTTACAATAATTTACAAAAACTTGTAAAGATAACCTCCTTTGCAAATAACAAGATAGAACTATGTAAACAGGAATGTTTATCATGATTGTTTTCTTTTAAATAATATTTTATTGTGTTTTCAGTGAAAGCTTGTTTACATGGCAAATTAGGTTCCCATTTAACAACTTCTACACAGATTGTTCAGTGACACTGATTATATTTTTTATAATGTATCAACATTCTCATTATTTCCATTCTGGTTGTTCTGTCTCCAGCAATCTAGTTTCCCTGTTCCATTAGACAGTATGTTTGTTTAGAGCAATTGTTGACTGTTAGGACTCACACAGATGATTTTCGAAACTGTAGTACATGAGTTATATTCTTCATTTTATAAATCAATCTGTTATTTAGGTGAAAGGTGACCTGAGGGGATAATTTCGATTCAAGGTTTAGAGTATCTCGGGGCAACAGTCTCAGGGAAGCCTCTAGTCTCAACTGGTCCACTAAGCTTGGATTTTTCTAAGAATTTGAGTTTTTTCCACATTTTCCTCCCATTCTATCAGGGTCCATGTACTTGGCCATGATCAGAACAGTTGGCAGCAGTAGCCAGGCACCATCTAGTTTTGCTCTTGGGGTAAATGAGGCCACAGTTTGTGTAGACTATTAGTCCTGTAGACCACTTACTTCTCTGAGTCTTTGGTTTCCTTCTTTCTCTTTTGCTCCAGACAAGTAAAGAGACTAATACTTGGATCTTAGATGGCCACTAACAAGCTTTTAAGACCCCAGATAGCACTCACCAAACTAGAATGTAGAACATAAACTTTATGAACTATATGATGCTAACCAACCAAGCTGTCCCAGAAGATTATGGTCCTAAGCCTTTGAGCCCAGAAAACCTATTCTGCGAGGTGTTTGATTATGTCTAAGAGGTATCTGTAATTGTGCCACTAAGTGCTTTCTTATATATAAACATATATGCAGGCACATATATACATGCATGTATACATGTTGTTGTTGTTGTTATGTGCTGTCTAGTCGGACCCAACTCAAAGCGACCCCTCCTTGGGTTTCCGAGGCAGTATCATTACAGAAGTAGATTGCCCCATCTTCCTTCCGAGGAGTGGCTGGTGGGTTTGAACCGCCAGTCTTCTGGTTAGCAGTCAAGTGCCTTAGGCATGTATATATGTAGATACATTTATACATGCACATAAATAGACATATACATAACTATATACCTATATGTATACATACATATATTTTTTGGTTGTTGCAAAATTATGTGTGCCATAGCATTTACCAAAAAGTCCTTTCTTCTTGTGTACTTAGTGACATCATATACTTTGTTCAAGCTGTGTGCACTTCACACACATTTGATGTTACCTCTCCATCACCCAAAATAACAAGCATCTTAATATCTAAGAAATGATAATCCCCCTACATCCCTGGTAACAACCAATGAATGACCATTTCTGTATGTATACCTATTCTTATCTTTTTATAAAAGTGAGATCATACAATGTTTGTCCTTTTTTGACTGATTTATTTCAACATGATATCCTCTAGATTCATCCACATTGTAAGGTTTTTCAAAAACTCATCATTCTTCTTGGTGGCTGCATAGTATACACAGTGCCTGGATTACAAACAAGATCTGTTCCTAAGTGCATCTTCAGGTTGAATGTGTAGGTAAATCAGTTATTTAGTGTTACTTTAGTGTAAGAAAGGGCTCAAAGCCTTTCAATGATTTTAAAGCTGCACACAGAGCTAGTGAAGGTGACTGTGATGAAGAATTTGTTACAAGTAGGTGTTGGATCAATCATTTCAAAGTGAGGGCATACTTACGTAACATTAAAGGGCAAGTCCCAACTTAGGGTGCCCCTAACTTGGACATCTGTAACCCAGGGACTGCCTATATTCCACTGCATGTAGGTACCACATTTTGTTTACCCATCCATCCACTGATGGGCACACAGGTTGTTTTCATCTTTTTGCTACTGTGAATATTGCTGCAGTGAACATAGGTGTGCATGTTTCTGTTCATGTCTCTTCTATCAGATCACTAGGGTATATATTAAGAGCGGGATTGATGGACCATAAGGTAGTTCTATTTTTAGTTTTTTGAGGATACACTATACTGTTTTCCATAGTGGTCACACAATTTTACTACCCCACCAGTAGTGGATAAGGGTTCTAAGCTCCCTATATTCTCACCAGCAGTTTTTGTTTTCTTTTTAAATCAGTGCCACTTTAGCAGGGGTGAGATGGCATCTTGTTGTAGTTTTTATCTGCATTTCTCTAATGGCTAATAATCACAAGCATTTTTTCATGTCTGTTGGCAGCTTGAGTGTCTTCTTTGGTGAAGTGTCCGTTCATGTTCTTTGCCCATTTATTAATTGTGCTATTTGTCTTTTTGTTGTTGAGTTACTGAAGTTTCCTATATATTTTAGAGATCAGACCCTTACTAGATATGTCATTCCCAGAGACTTTTTTTCCCCAGGCTGTAAGTTATCATTTTATTCATAGTTGTGTTTGATAATCCTTTACCATAGTTTGCCCCCATGTTTTCTTCCAATAATTTTATATTCAGGTAAACCTAAAATGGTTTACCATTTAGGTCTTCAACCCATTTTTTAGTTAGTTTCTGTGCATGGTGTAAGATACGGGTAGTATCTGTAATACCTTCAAACCAAAAGCTAAAGATATATTTTATATTTTGCTCCTGTAATTATCCCGTTTTGTTTGCATCATCAATTTATTTATCTTTTACAGATCATTCTCATCAGCATACAAGCATGTTTTAATATCTCTTAAAAACAAATAAAACTCTCAATCTCACCTTCCTTCCAGCTAACACTTAATTTCTGTTTCTCTACCAAGCAAATTTTTTATTTTAAATAAGTACAGGCTCACAGGAGTTGCAAAAATTATACAGTCTATTCTCAATAACAGTGTCTTACATAACTATAGTACAATGGGTAAAATCAGGAAATTGACATCAGTGCAATCTACATACCTTATTCAAATTTCACCAGTTTTGTACATATTCATTTATAGTGTGTATGTACAAATTTTTATAACCACCACCACACACAAAGTAGAGAATTGTTCTATTATCACAAAGGAACTTCTTTATGTGCTACCACTTAATGGTTGCGACTAGCCCTCTTCCTCTCAGATTCCGTCAATATCTAAATCTTGCCCATTAATCTGTTTTCTATTTCTACAATTTTGTCCAGAATGTTATATAAATGGAATCATGTAGTATGAGACCTTTTGAAATTGGCTTTCTTCCATATAATGTCCTTGAGATCCACTCAACTTGGTTTATGTATCATTAGCTTGTTCCCTTGTTACTGAATAGTATTCCATGGTATGAGGTACCACAGTTGTTTAAACTTCCTTTGTTTCTAGTATTTTGCTATTACAAATAAAGTTAGCAGCTATGAAACTTTATATACAGGTTTTTGTGTGGATACAAGGTTTTATTTCTCTGGGATAAATGCCCAGAAATAACAACATTCCTAAGCAACAATAGCATTGTTAAATCATATGGCAAGTGACCCTTTATAAGAAAATTGCCTTCTAGAGTGGCTATATCACTTTACATTCCCACTAGCAGAGTAAAAGGAGCTCCGGTGGCATAGTGCCTAAGGCATGTGATTGCTAACCAGAAGGCTGATGGTTCAAACCCACCAGCCACTCCTCAGAAGGAAGGTTGAGCAATCTACTTCCGTAGTGATACTGTTTCGGAAACCCAAGGAGGAGTCACTATGAGTCAAATCTGACTCAACGGCAGTGAGTTTTGGTTTGGTTAGCAGCGTATAAGAGATCCAACTTCTTTGCACTTCCTCAGCACTTGGTGATATCACTATTTTTTTATTTTGCAATGGGCATGTAGTAATATTTCATCATCATTTTAATCTGTATTTCCCAAATGGCTAATGATGTTGAACACCTTTTTGTATGCTTATTTGCCATTCACATATCATCTATGATGAAATATCGTTCATATCTTTCACCTATTTTCTAACTGGGTTATTTGCTTTCTATCTTACTGTTGAGTTTTTATACATACAAAGTATATATACATTTTATATCTAAGCCTGTTGCCAGATACATAACATAGTTTGCAAATATTTTCTACCAAATATCAAAAGACAAGTATATAGCCTGACTTTTCATTCTTCCACAGGGTCTTTTACTGAGCAAAGGTTTTTGATTTTGTTGAAGTCCAATTTACTGATTTTTTTTCTTTTATAGAGCATATTTTGGTGTCACTTCTTAAGAATTTTTCACCAATCCCAGGCCCCAAAGATTTCCTATGTTTTCTTTTATAAGTTTTATATTTAAGTTGGTGATAATAGAGTTAATTTTGGTATTAGGTGTGAATTTTAGGTAAAAGTTCAAGTTTTTTTGGCCTGTGGATGTTCAATTAGGAGCCCTGGTAGTACAGTGGTTAAGGTGCTGGGCTGCGAACCAAAAGGTCAGTGGTTTAAGCCCACCAGCCACTCCTTGGGAGAAAAATGTGGCCGTCTGCTTCCATTAAGATTACAGCCTAAGAAACCTCTGTAGGGCAGTTCTACTCTACCCTATGAGATCACTATTAGTTG